CTGGGTCATTGAGGGGCAGGGTGGCATCCAACAGAATGGCTCTAGATGTGGGGAACTGGAACAGGAGGGACAGTTAGAAACCACTATCCTCTGCTGCAAAAACAATAACTGTAATAGTGAAATAAAATAAATAATACCCTGGATCTGACTTTAGATTTGCATCATGACGGAGGGTTTAAAATAATCCTCTTTCTCACTTCTCTCTCATCTTAAACTCATCTTTGACAACTCAAAATGTAAGCCTTCTTTATTGTCCCCTTTTGTCCCCTTTAAAGGATGCTTTAAACATCCGTCTTCAATCTCCTCTCCACCTTTATCTGACTGGAGGGTTTACACCTGCGTCTTTCGGCGTCAAGTCTCCATAAAGGAGATTAAAAGGTGAGCTCATTGAAATTCCCTGAGTATAACTATTTAAAATCCACGAGAGAGAAATATACCTTCTCCAGTTGTTCCACACAGATGGTGTGGGCCACGATCTTACACGCTGCACACTTCCTGCGACTCACAGACTTTTGCTAGAAACACAAAGAAACACAGTTTAGAAATACAAAAAACAACCACACACATACAATCACTTTACTCAAAGTACTATTCAGTTTGTTTAATGATCATAAGCAGCTGGTAAATGGTTTTTTTGAAAGGGAAAAATGAGGCAGTAATGATATATGTGACCACCAGGGGGCAGTCCTGTGCTGCAGAAAGAGACACGCTGTGGGCTGGAAGCTGGTACTGAAATTAGAATGATGGCATGATGCTTTAGGACTTGTGGGGTATCGTATTTATGTGTGATGTGATGGGCTGTGATACGAGCCGACATGAGTACAATTATACCATGATGTGACCGTGGTGATGACACCAGAGGTCCTTCAGCGGGAAATACATCTCTGTACACCACTGTGCAGAAGGTGTTAAAGCAAAGACCAGAGTGGGTTCTCTAAATGAGTCACATTGCCATCTTAAGGTATAAATGTTTAACAGATGTGAGGGGTGTGACAGTGAGCGATGAGGGGAAATCAAGCACAGACTGGAACAAGCACAAGCTTTTTAACGGCAGAACACCCATACATAATGTCTCACTATTATTCAGCCATTTCTTCAGTATATTATGGAATGGTTTTCAGCAGAGAAGTGTAAGGAATGTGCGATGGAATAGCTGTGTATATTTCATTGTTTTAATAGTGTCTCAATGGTGACCTCAATTGAGGAAAAGTGGATTTTACACTATGAATATAGTAAGGTAATATATAATAAGAATGAATATACTTAATATATAAATTACAACACATTTTCTTTCCTTTTATGACTGCACAGCTGGATTGAACTTTATTGAGTCTTGCAACATAATCTTGCACTACTTTATTCTACTCTGTTTCTTCTTTTTATTGTTTTAAATTAGTTTTATTGTTATCTTAAATATATATAGTCATGTTGAATTGTTGGAGGAGCCTGGGACCTAAGATTTTCATTGACATTACTACACTGTAGCTACTGTATATGTGACTATAAAGCAACCTTTGAATGTTGAATCTTTGATGTGTCGCACATATTTAGATAGTAATTTCTCATATTCTTACTTCCTTGTATAATTATATTTCTTGTAAATATGTATTTATATTTATACATTTCATAATAGTTAATTAAATAGTTCTATATATGCTTGATTTGTACACTGTTATTGTGTTTATGTACTGCATTTGTTTGAAACAGCAGCATATTCATTTTAAAAACAGCAAGGACCCTCAACAAGAAGGTGAATGAACCCTGGACATAACATCAACTCTGTGTGAACACCAGTCATAGCAGCTGGGAAAAGGTCAAAGGTCAGAGCCCATGAGTCAGAGGCTGAACGGAGATAGAGAGGAGGAGGATATTCACATGTGACACCAGAGATCATCTGTGATCGGCTAAAGGGCGAAACACCAAATTAAATATGACAGCTATTCCATCAAACGGTGGCCTATGAGAGACTATAAGTGGGCCGTGATGAGGCCTCTGACACGTCTACACCCTGTCGGATCAACTGAATACAATATATTGATAAGGAACTTGTAGAAATATTGTTGAGGGCACAGAGGATAGAGGAGATACTTACCAGTGCTCTGGCTATACAGTGTTGTTCCCCCACATAACAGTAGTCTCCAGATGCATTGGTCTCATACCAGATATGATCTCCATACTGAGCCGCCTCCTACGGGGGGGGGCACAGAGACACACAGGAGAACACATAATGATAATCACTTTATTATTTGTTTCACTGATGGTTCACTTTAGCATCGATAGGTCACTGATGAAGCATACAAAGATGTTAGAAGATGATTGTGCAATCATTGGCGCTACAGTCCACTACTGTGTTCATATAGGTATTTAAATATAGATGTTAATAATATGCCTGCTCAGTTGACTTATTCAGCCGTTTCTTCAATGAGGACAGACTGTCTCACCGGCGAAACCTACATTTCAGAGACACATTTGTTTCCCTGACAGCAAAAACAGCCCCGAGGGAGGGGTAAGGTGTGTGATGTCACAGCGGATGAGCTGCTGCTGTAGGCATTAGGTGAATGTCAAGGTGTGTGTGTGTGTGTGTGTGTGTGTGTGTGTGTGTGTGTGTGTGTGTGTGTGTGTGTGTGTGTGTGTGTGTGTGTGTGTGTGTGTGTGTGTGTGTGTGTGATACTCCTGTGAGTATCACACACACACACACACACACACACACACACACACACACACACACACACACACACACACACACACACACACACACACACACACACACACACACANCCCCGGGCGCTGTACAATAGCTGCCCACTGCTCCTAGTACTAGACTCCTGGTACAAGGATGGGTTAAAAGCAGAGAACACATGTCACTGTGTGCTCTGTGTGCTCTGTGTGCTCTGCATGTGTGACGATTAAAGAGGGGTTCATCCCTCCACATATATATTATACGTTATAACTTATTAAGCTCTTTTTTGTATTTGTAGTTGAGTTTACTAAAGCTGTTTTGGAGAGATGTGGCCGTTGTGAATCCCACATTTTATCCCACATCTTCTGGCTTTCTTTTTCTTTGTAAATGTAGTAACTAAATTGTGCATGTGTTGTAGTGTGTCAGCAAGAACGCCATGGTCTAAGGCGAGGAGAAACAAGAGGATCTCCCTGTGTTTTCAAATGAGCCTTAACACCTGAGGCATGAGATAAAGAAGGCTAAAGTTACACTCCTGGTGAACATTCTTTGTAAGTTAATAACTAGGAGAGCTCACATTACATGAATAGGTTATTGTCAATTCCAAACGCTTGTTATTTCTTAACATTCATTTTGTGAATGAATAAAGATTTCATTCTTTGAAAACACGCAAAAACAGGAAGTAAAAAGTATGACCAAAAGGAAAACATGAACCAGATAAACCAAAATATTAGGATCTTGGCACCAACTGACTTTTGACGAAGCTTTGAGGAAGCAGCACTGCATCAGGAATTCGTTGATCTCATTGGACAGGATGGTTAAAGCATGGGAATAATTGAGGATGCAAATGTATATTTTATAATGGAAACACTTAATTTGGACAGTCCTACAAATGAGAGATGACCATTTGTGACAATGTTTGTACATACCTACTTGTTCTACTCACTGAACATCTGCTGTATAATTGAGCATAGGATGGATGAGTAGTTCAGGTTCGACTAAAATGTGCTAAGTGTTAGTAGATATGTTCATGAATGGTCACATGTCCTCTATAGATAATCCAACTCTTTGTAGGACTATCTAAGTAAAGTTTATCATTTGTATTATTGAAACAATTGACGATGCCATTTAGGGAACATTTTTTAAACAGAAAAGCCTGTTTGTCCCTTCAGCATTTCTAAAGGAGGATTGGAACAAAAGATCTGGACTATCATCAATTATCATGGAAACCATCTTCTGTTGTAAGGATCTCAAAGCATCATCAGAAGACGGAAGGGGAAAGTTGATGATATGTCTTTTACCAAATAGATTCTTAGATACCACATATCATTTTTAGCACTATCCATATCTGCAGACATGATGGATTTCTTCTTCGGTGGCCGTCAGAAGAAACCAAAGCATGGCGCTGCTCTTCAGACCAGCAAAGCCAGGAGGCGCTCTAGTGCGGGTCTGCCTTCCGCGGCGTTGGTTCAGTCCAGGCGCTCCTCGGTGGGCTTACCTCTAGTGTGTGCTGAGCAGCGCCGGCGCCCCAGTGTGGGCTCCTTGGTGGCTACTGGACAAAGGCGCCACTCCATCATAGAGGTAGGTTTAACAAGTGAAGCAGAGGGAGGGTCTGGAAGAGGAACTGAGAGAGCAGATGGAGTCATCACAAGAGGAAGGCGGGGGTTGCAGTACAAACCTCACCATGCTCGTGGTGGTGTACAGCGTGGGATGGCACTGCGATATCGACGTCCTTCTAGAATCAAATCTATTGAATCTCATTTATTCGGATCCTCTTTGTTACTTGCAAGTGTAGTCCAGATGGGTAGAGAAGTGAAGGAAGATGAAGAGGAGGACACCTCTTCCTGTTCGGAGTCTGATGGAGAGGAAGGGAGTGAGGGACGGGACATGAGCTTGAGGAGTACACATTGGTACTTAACCCAGGCAGACATTATGGAGAACATTAAGCCCCGCCCCTTGCTCCGCCCCCCTCGCTGCCTGAGACGAAACTCCTCCCACCCTCTTCCAGACTCAGGTTATGGGGTTTACGGACGGTATAATCGACGTGGGTCAAGTCAAGTTCAGTGGACAGAGAAGATGAAACAGATCCAGACTTCCACGACCAGCCCCAGCCTGGGTCAGCTAGCCTCTGCGGGGCGGAGCTCCGAGGGGGGGGCTGCTCCAATAAACAGGGCCCGCTATGGCTCCACTCTCCAGAAAAGCTCCTCTTCACTACTAGAGGGGGCCGAGGGAACCATATACTATGACCCTTATCTGGAAACATGGGAGAACTTCCTGACGTATGTAACACACACACACACACACACACACGCACACACACACACACACACACACACACACACACACACACACACACACACACACACACACACACAGTTTTTTGTTAGTTTTTAGTCGGCTGCTTTTAACGTGACGCACGACACAAGTGACAAGTAACTGACATGGCGCAAACACGTACCTCGTAATTCTTTCTCACTAAAATCTGCTAAATCTGCTAAAATCTGCTAAATTTGCTAAAAAGATTGAAATAGAAGAAGCAGGGGCAGGGCATTATTACGCAGAATCTGTGTAATATGTAGAATTAGCAATGCCTTGATAGCCTACTTCAATGAATGTAAATTCCACATTGTTGGTAAAATAATATTTTACATCTTAATAGTGTGTGTGTGTGCTTGCGCTTTTGTGCGTACTCTATAGTGCCCGTAATAGTGTGCACTGGAGTCCGTTGTTATGCACTGTGTGTGTGTGGTTTTGCTCGGTGTATGTCAACGTCACCAAAGACCAGCTCGCAATAAGATATGTATGTAAACTCCATCTTCTCTTTAGTGATCTCACATAATGTCATCTCATTCAATTTTCTCATCGCAAGAATTGTTATTCCATGGCGTGCGCAATGCAGTTGAGCAGGTTTTATTTTCCGGTACATCATCTGTCTAAAAGAAGCTGCTTTTCCTTCCTCTGTTATTTTCACATTGCCTTTTTATCTCATATTCATACTTGGGTTTGACATCATTTCCCTCTTCCTTTTAGGCTCTTTGCTGCTTTAGATATGCCATTTAGATTTAGTCCGTAAGTTTGAGCCAACACCTGTTGTTTAGTCGAATCAATGCGAAAGCGTATCCAGACAATTTGCTATTACGGTAAATATGCGGAACTATGAAAAATGTCTATAAAAATCCAAACAAACAAAAATAACCCTCCACTTCCTGTTGAACTTCACCATACACATATCTTTTTTAAAAGCAGTACGGTGCTTTGTTGAGTTTTCCTCTTCTCTCTACAGCCCACACACATGCTGCTTTGCTTATTGATTTGTTTGTGTGGAAATAAATGGTTGTTTGTCTGTATGTGAGTCAGTCCTGTGCAGAGAATGGATGGATAAAAAGTAGGTGACTTTTCTTTTGGAAAGTCTGTTGCGCAGTACTGACAAAGGAGAGATGACACCTCTGGCTCGGTCCTTGTGCATCTGCCAGGTGTTATATGTACGGCTGTATTACTTAACATGCCTAGTATTATATATATTTTACTCACCTCATTTCATGCTTCTATTTTGAGGGCCAAACTAGAAGTTTTTATTTTCTGGCTCTTAATTATTTTCTGGCTCTTATTTATTTTTGTTAGTTACAGCTCCCAGGAAATAAAGCCATTGAAATATAATCAGATTTACCATTAAGAGTCACATGATGAAATATAAGAAATTGAAATGTTGATTGTGCTTCGAGTTAGCTGCTAGCTGGATTTATTTTGTAGAATTATTTTTTCACAGTAGTTTTTTAATTGGTTATCCAGAATTTTTTATTTCATTTATTTTATATATTTATTGGTATTGCGTACCTAATTTCTGGTATCCTGATTTACGTTATACACACTGCTGTAAGATGTAAATCTACCTTGGAATCAACCTCTGCCAACAATTAGTTAAGGTCATATTAAGTCCAAACAGTGTGAGTGGCACTACTTCATATATATATAAAAAACTGCAAGATAAATTAACCAGATATATTGGCATCTCTGCAGTATGGAACGCAGATCTAAAAAATGATACGCAGACTATTGATTGGAAGAGAATATGGAATAATATCTCCTTAACATCGCGTAACCACAATCACCAATTGATACACCATAAAATGATACACAGTTATGACCTGTCAACCAGAAAATGCTGTCAATTAAGGATGATTCCAAGCCCCATATGCCTTCTCTGTAACCAAAAGACTATTGGCACATATGTACACATGGTTTCTGAATGTACTGCAGTAAGAACGTTCTGGAAACAGGTTATTGACATTGTATCTGAGATGATTGGAGTTCACATACCCTGTCTCCCAAATATTGTATTGTTGAATGATGATTCTTCTCTTGACCTACAGAAACATGAGAAAAGGGTGCTTTTCGCTGGTCTAACAGCAGCCAAAGAAAATTATTGCAATACAATGGAAACCCCCACATACTTTATTTCTTAAGCAATGGATATCATCTTTCCATGACCTACTAATCTCAGAGCT